CATACCACCATCTCCCCCACCCTTTCGTTTCTCCACCAGATTTCTGGAACATCCAACAATTTTTTTCTCCATTTTGGAACTGGTTTTCCTTTCTTTTTCTTCAGCATTATTCTGTGAGCCCATACCCATCATCCCTGACCTCCCCTTCCCCTCAGATGCTCTCTTTCTTTCCCAGTATGTTTGCTTGTGTTGTATATATATATCACACACACATTGGATTATGATTTTCTTAATTTAGGCTCCTAGATTTCCCACAGGGGTATCAGAAGTTTTACTGTAAGTTCACCTGTTGATTTATTTATGTATTAAATCAGTTTATGTACTAGTCATCTGAATTGCTGAGTTATTTAAAAAATTATTCTTAACTCTCTAGGCCAGGGGTGTCAAACTGCCGGCCCATGGGCTGGACGCGTCACGCGGAAGCCGCGCCCACCCCATTGCCGGCAATGGCAAAACAGTCCCCATATGTTGGGCGACGTCACATGACGTCACGAGTTTGACATATCTGCTCTAGGTGGTCATAGAAATAATTAAGATAAATAACTAGGAATTAGAAAATCACATCTGCAGTATTTTGAATCCTTGATAGAAGCTGATCAAGAAGGATTCTCGTGAATTTCCCCTAAATGCAGAGAAGTCAACCTACCTAATAAGATTCCCCTCTTTCTTCCCTGACATTTTCTTCTTTTTATCTTTTCTTTAGAGGAGAATCCTTTTCTGTAGCCACGAACACCAGAAACAATTAAGAAATCAGCTGAGAAAAGGGACTTTGGAAATCTGGGGCTAGAAGTAAAGTTAGGACAAGAACTCCATGGATGTGTGGGAGATATTCGCCACATCTGAGTGTGCTGCAATATACAAAATAGTTACTATTTCTTGGACATAGGGATAACCATACTCAGTCCCAAAGGTGCTTTTTCACGAGGCAACTGAACTTTCTTTTTTCTCTTTGAAGACGTTTTGCTTCTCATCCAAAAAGTTTCTTCAGCTCTGACTGGATCTGTACATTGGGGAAACAAAGCAACCATTTCATGAATGTATGGCACAACATAGAAGAACAAACCCATCAGGATAAGATTCAGCATTCCATCTGCATTTAAAAGACAAAGACCACTTTTTGAAGACAGCAAAGTCCACATTTTGGACAGAGGACCTCTGGTTTGAAAGAGGGGTCAAAGAGGCCATCTGTGTCAAAACTGAACAGCCCTCTCTCAACAGAGGGGGAGGGATAGGACACCATCTATCTCCAGTCTACAACACAGTCCTTTCAGCAGTCCCAAGAAGGCTCCACACCCATTTGCACCACTCAGGTGACCCTGACGACACAGATAAGCCTCCAGTGGCATCAGCGACTCAAAAGAAGGCAAATGACCAGCTGTCTACAAGGAGTATAAATCCTTCCATTCCTCATTATCCAGTCAGAGCTGAAGAAGCTTCTTGGATGAGAAGCAAAACATCTTCAAAGAGAAAAAAGAAAGCATGGTTGTATCATGAAGAAGCACCTTTAGAACAACCATGACTGGGAGGACTGAGAATCTCCATCGAAACCAAACTCAAGTCTTGTTTCTTCTGTGTGAAGTTGAGACTCAGGCTGGGCAGTAGGAATGAGAAAGCATTTTTCTATCAAAAGTTTTCTTTATGTCACTGATTCCTCATCATAAACCCATGGAAAGAGCTTCAGAGGGAGAGTTTCTTTCTCCATCAAAGGAGCCACAGTGCAGAGACTTATAAATGCACAGGCTTTTCTTCCACAAAAATGCCAAAGTCTGCTTTGCTGTGGAGTGACAAGGGCTTGACCAGAGCTAATAGGTATTGTATTACATTTCCCTATAACCTTGGATTAATTCAATTATATTTTCTAGTCCTAGGGCATATCAAAATGACAAATATGGGATTATTTTGGGAGGGGCTCTATTTTAGAGCCTGGAGTGAAATCACTCAATCATTTACTCAAACGTGGCTTAGCAATAGTTTCTAGCTGTTATGATCCAGGTTGCCTAGGCAGAGACAAGCTACAATGGAGTCCTTTATTGCTTTGATAAATTCAACAAATGGTCCTACAATGGCTGGTAAAGCTTCACCCCATATTTTAAAATAGAATAGAATAGAATAGAATATTAGGACTAGAACAGAACAGAATAACAGAATTGGACCTCGTGGGTCATCTAGTCCAACCCCCGTCCAAGCAGGAGACCCTGCACCTTTTCTGACAGATGGCAGTCCAGTCTCTTCTTGCCCAGTTCTTGTAACCTGAAGGCAGCCACACACAGTCCAGCAAACAAAAGCCAGAAAGCAACAAAAACAATTTTCACAGGCAGAAAAGAAGTCCAAAGACAAGGTACAAGCTCATGGGGCAAGGTCCAGAGTCAATGTCCACAAGGGCAAGGCAAATCCACGAGGCAAAGGCACGGCACAGGCAGAAACAAGAGTAAAGGCTGAGCAAATAATTGTTCCTGACAATCTCCCCTGGCTTCTGCTTAAGTCAACCCACACCGAGTGTTCCTTGTGAGGAGGGGCAGGGCGACCTTCTCCCGAGCATCCGCTCTACTCTCTGCGCTCTTGGATCAAGTGGGGGAGGCAGCTGTTCCTCATCAGAGGGGATCTGCTGCCTCTTGGCACCACTGCCTGTCCACAGCCCTTCAGAAAAGAACCCCCAACTCTTCCCACAGGAATGGCCATATCAGAAGGTCCCCTTGGAAGTGTCTGCAGAACCCAGAGAGCAGATGGAGGCAAAAGAGCCAGCCTCAATGGGACTCAGATGTAAGCCTGAGAAGATCTGTTCATCTTCAATGCACCCAGCAGGATCATGGAACCAAAGGGCTGGAAGGGACCTCAGAGGTCTTCTAGTCCAACCCCCTGCTCAAAGCAGAAGACCGTATATCATTCCAGTCTATTTTTGAAAACCTCCAGTGATGGAGCATCCACAATTCCAGGAAACAAGCTGTTTCAAGTGTTCTCACTGTCAGGAAATTTCTCCTTACTTCTAGGTTGGATTCTCTTTAACGAGCTTCCACCCATTACCTCTTGCCCTGCCTCAGATACTATGGGGAATAAGTCAGATACTATGGGGAATAAGTCTTTTCTGTGACAGCCCCTCAAATACTGGAAGGCAGTTATCATGTCTTCGCAATCCTTCTTTTTGACAGGTTAGACATACATTCATCATACAATTTAGCCTCCAGACCCTTTGATCCATATTGCTCTCTTGATGATTCCTTCTCACAGCAACTGCTTTACTCTTTGAAAGAATAACTTGACCATCTTGCACTCGGTTCTGGATCGAAGAACTTTGGGATATCTATGGTTGTAACAGAATCACCATCGATGAGTTAAAATGATACTGTCAACGCTGCTAACATCTGATGTTTTTGCATTGACAAAAGATGGAAATGTAGCCATCTTTTACCTTTTGATTTTAGAGTTAGATAATGCTGGGAGGGGGGATGTGAACGAGAGTCCAGCTTGACATAACAACACTAAAACTAGCGTGAGAAACAAGGTTATTGTAACCAGAGCTGATAAGGAATTGGCGGGCTGGAGAACCGGAGAGGAGGCCCACGCTTCAAGCTAATTGGGGAATGTGATTTATGACTGTTAATTGGAGGAGGGAATTGTGCTTTGATACTATGTGCTCAGGGGAGGGGAATTCAATTTTTGGCTTCAATTATGCAATGCTGATATTATGCTACTCAAAATAAAGATTCTTTAAGGTAAATAATGCCTCGAAGTTCTTTTGAAGAGTTTCATCTGTCGGAACCATGACAGAGACCTTGCAATGTCTGAAAGAGGCCAACATCTAGCCACAATTCTTGCTTCCTGCTCAGTAGTCCTTGAGGTTAAAATAGAACTCTCAGATTTGGGTTGCAAAACCAGAATGACCCACCCCCTGGCACAGCAAGATACAAAAAAATAAAATAAAAAAATCTTAATTTGTTGCTGCCATCTAGCAATGACCTACAGTACGTCTATTATCCCAGGTATAGCATTCTTCTTTTCAGACCCCTTTCTATACCGAGATATCATTGATTTAATTTTTCCTCTTTGCATTAAAAATAGTATGCAATGTAGCCTCGTTCATATAGAACACCCTAGCAAACATTTTAGCAAAATGCAAATGTTGTTTATTTCTATGACAACCGGGAGTAGCATATATACCCAGTGTCTGTAAACTAATCTAAAAATAAACTTTAATTCCTATAAAAGCACCCATGAATATCAGTTACATAAATAAACTGTTGAACATGAAAATATCTCAACCCTCACACATAGCTCTCTCATGAAGAAATTATCCTTTTGCAGTTGGAATCTGAAGTAACAAAATAATAATAATAATAATAATAATAATAATAATAATAATAATAATAATAATAATAATAATAATAATAATAATAATAAAGTTGGAAGGGACCTTGGAGGTTATCTAGTCCAACTCCCTATAGGCAGGAAACCCTATATCTAGTCCAACCCCCTATAGGCAGGAAACCCTATACCATTTCGGACAAATGGCTGTCCAGTCTCTTCTTAAAAACCTCCAGTGTTGGAGCATTCACCGCTTCTGGAGGCAGGTTGTTCCACTGGTTAATTGTTCTGTCAGGAAGTTTCTCCTTAGTTCTAGGTTGCTTCTCTCCTTGCTTAGTTTCCACCCGTTGCTTCTTGTCCTGCCTTCAGTGTTTGTTGAAGATGTCCATTCCATGTTAGGACTGAAACTTCCTAATCTTTCATGCATGATTTTCTTCTGTCCATCACAATTCTTCTGTATTTTAGGACAATATTCCTTCATATGAATTCTTTGCACTCAGCTCAAATTATCACCCCATTCCACATTTATAGACTTTGTTTTGGATTCTGACGAGAAATTAGGTCAAAACTCTAGTCAGAGTTCTTCCCGTACTCCAGGCAGTTATTTCTATTTCTAGTGGGTCCTTCTTCTATGTGAAGTAAGGTTACTGCCAATTTTGAATGTTTCCCCACACACCTTGCATTTATCGGGTTCCTCCCATGTGGCTCCTTTTGTGATAACGAAGAGCACTTTTCCAACGGAAACATTTTCCGCATTCCATGCATTTAAATGGTTTTGCGATTAAGTGGGTCCTTTCGTGGGAAATTAGGTCACATCCCTGACTAAAACTCTTTCCACATTCCGTACATTTATATGGTTTCTCTTCCGAATGGATCCTCATATGGAAAGTAAGTTTACTGCTCGTAATGAAGCTTTTCCCACATTTGGTGCATTGATAGGGCTTTTCCCCTGTGTGAGTTCTTTTATGACAAATAAGAACACTATTCCATTTAAAACTTTTTCCACACTCCATACATTTATAGGGTTTCTCTATCCTGTGGACTTTTTTGTGAGAAGAAAGCTGAGAAAAACTTTTCCCACATTCTGTGCATTTATATGGTTTTTCCCCTGTATGAGTCCTTTTATGGGAAATGAGGTGGCTACTTTGACTGAACCTCTTTCCACACTCCGTACATTTAAATGGTTTTTCTCCAGTGTGAGTTCTGTTATGACAAGTAAGGGCAGTGCTGTTGTTAAAGCTCTTTCCGCACTCCATGCACTTATATGGTTTCTCCTCTCTGTGCGTCTTTTCATGATGCACAAGCGATCCAGTTTCACGGAAATTCATTCCACACTCCATGCATTCATATGTTTCCTCTCCTATGTGGATTCTTTCATGGGATATAAGGGAGCTGTTTTTCTGGAATCCTTTCCCACATTCCACGCATTTGTACGGTTTCTCTCCTTTATGGCTCCTTTTATGAGAAATTAGGCAAGCCCTCTGACTGAAACTTATTCCACACTGCATGCATTTATGTTTTTCCTTTGAGTGAATTCTTCTGTGGGTAGAAAGGCTACTGCTTGTATTGAAGCTCTTCCCGCACTCCGTGCATTGATATGGCTTCTCTCCCGTGTGTATCCTTTGATGGGAAATCAGAGAATGTTTCCACCGGAAGCTTCTTCCACACACCGTGCATTTATATGATTTCTCTTCTGTATGGATCTTTTGATGAGACCTAAGGGAACAATTCTGACTAAAGCTCTTTCCACACTCCACACATTTATATGGCTTCTCTCCTGTGTGGATCCTTTTATGGGAAGCAAGGTCACAGCGCCTCCGGAAAGTGTTACCACACTCCATGCATTTATAAGGCTTCTCCCCGCTGTGGATCCTTCTATGATAATTAAGGTGACTACTCTGAGAAAAGTTCTTTCCACACTCCGTGCATTTGTAAGGTTTTTCCCCACTGTGGATTCTTTTGTGAGAAGTAAGATGGCTTTTTTGACTAAAGCTCTTCCCACACTCCAGGCATTGGTATGGTTTCTCCCCTGCATGCATCCTTCTATGGGACCTAAGATACTGGCTCCATTTGAAGCATTTCCCACACTCCATGCATTGGTATGGCTTTTCTCCTGCTCTTCTTCTTTCAGCTAAAGAAATAGTTCTTCTGTGACACTTTCTATTGTCCAACAATTCACAACCTTCTCCTTTAGTGTAAGCCCTGTAGTTTTTATTAACAACTAACGTGTCTTTGAATGTTTCCCTTCTTTTCCCTAAAGTCTTTTCTTTATTTCTTCCTTTCCAAGGTTGTTGAAGAACATCTTGAATCTGAATACAATGGAGAATGGATTTTTTTCTCCCCTGCTTTTTGGACTGGTTTTTCTCTTTTTTAAGCCTTTCTTCCTTTTTCTGATCGATCTCTTGAAATGGTTCCTTGCAACTGTCATTCTCCTGCCCATGAGCTCCTTGAGAAGAAAAAAGAAAAATTGGACAAAGCTAAGGGAAAGAATATATATATATATACAGGTCTTGGCGTATTCGGGTCTTTTCCCGTGTAAGATTGAGAGTATTTTGGCGACGTTTCAATGAGGTCCCACTCGTCATCTTCATGCTGGGGTCTTCGGCTTCGTGCTTGTGCGAGCAAAGAGTGATCGGAGCTGCCGTCTCTCTATATATATTGGTGGGGGTGTGTGGAGTGCTGGCTTAGTTGCTATAGGTGGGTTGGTTGGCTGTGTAGGGATTGGTTGGTTGGCTATGTAGGGGTTATTGTTTGTTGATTGTTCAGCTGTTTCGTAACATCCTGAGGTGCTGGCTGTGTGCCCATTAGTCTTTTGTGTTATAATGACCTGGGCAATGGGTTGTGTGATTACATCCTGAGATCTAGTGTAGTGATATCCTGAGTTTTGTGTTGCAACATCCTGGGTGGTTGGCTGTGTTGTAACATCCTGGGGTTTAGCATTGTAACCTCCTGAGTTCTGTGATGTGATGTCCAGAGCAGAAGGCTGTGATGTAGCATACCGGGCTTTGGTTTGGCTCCGAGTTTGCGGTCTAGCTCTGTGTTCATGGCGTGGGTCCATTATAACACAAAAGACTAATGGGCACACAGCCAGCACCTCAACTACTCAGGATGTTACAAAACAGCTGAACAATCCGCAAAGAATAACCCCTACACAGCCAACCAACCCACCTACAGCAACTGAGCCAGCACTCCACACACACACACCAATATTTATAGAGACGGCAGCTCCGATCACACTTTGCTCGCACAAGCACGAAGCCGAAGACACCAGCCTGAAGATGATGAGTGGGACCTCGTCGAAACGTCGCCAAGATACTCTCAATCTTACACGGGAAAAGACCTGAATACGCCAAGACCTGCATACCTGTACCTGTGAAAATCGACAAATATATATCCATATTTTCCTACTTCTCCTCTGCCATCGTCTCCTCCCATTGCAACCACTGCATTGCAGTCAAGTAGTTTATCTATTAATATTATCTATTAACTTAAAGCCACATCTCCACATAGGTGCTCCACATAGGTGAAACACTGTATTTCACCCAGAATTTAGAGACACTGGATTATAGAAGAAAATGTCAAAAAGAAGAAAACATTGTAATCCACTGTTTCTCAACTGTGGCAACTTTAAGCTGTGTGGCTTGCTGGCTGGGGAACTCTGGGAATTGAAGTCCGCACAGCTTCTTAAATTTATTTATCAAATTTATATGCCGTTCATCTCGCAGTTGCCAAATAACAATTTTTAGAAAACATCTGTGGTTCATAGGACAAGCAAGTAGCTTCCTATCCTATACAAGAAGTGATTGCGAAGGTCAGAGGTCAGATCACTGGGTTCATAATCTAAGATGAAGCACTGAGAAAGTAAAAAAAATTATATTCTTGAAGGGGAATATCTGAACTATGAAATAACAAATGACAACATGACGGACCTAAGAAAGTAGCTGTTAATTTTGTCCCAAAGGTGCTTTGTCAGGAGGCAACTGGACTTTCTTATTTTAATTTGAAGACCTTTCGATTCTCATTCAAGAAGCTTCTTCAGCTCTGACTGGGTGGTGGGGAATGGAAGGATTTATACTCCTTGCAGACAGTTGGTCGTTTGCATTCTTTTAGAGAGTCGTTGAGGCCATTTGGAGGTTTACCTATGTCTTCAGGGTCACCTGAGTAATGCAAATGTGTGTGGAGCCTTCTTGGCTGCAGGATGTCGTCAAGGAAAAATAAGAAAGTCCAGTTGCCTCATGAAAAAGCACCTTTGGGACAACTATGACCTCGATGACTGAGAACCTCCATAGACATTTAGCTGTTAATTTTTTCCCTTGCTTGGAGAAGATAGGATTAACTCCTTCCTGTATACAGGAGATGAGATCTGGTTGGGGAGAAATATTTGGCTAACTCTTAACTGTCTTCTACACATTTGAAGGCTGAGTAGGGGACTCTTACCCAGAGAGGCCACATTCTGAGAATTCTCCAGCATGACTTCCTCGTGGAGGGCTTTCTGGTGGGCATCCATCTGAGACCATTCCTCCTCAGAAAAATACACCGCCACATCCTCGAAGGACACAAGACCCTGAACAAGGAAACACATTTCTCTATTAACAGACAAGGGAGGATTTAGAAGTTCACAAATCCTATAAGGGGACATCTGCAATGAGTGAAATATGAGGATGTAATATTCTATGCAAGAAAATGGGCCAAGTTCATAGGCTCTCACTGAAGGCTATAAAAAAAGATGTTGAGACTCTAGAAAAAGTGCAGAGAAGAGCAACAAAGATGATTAGGGGACTGGGGGCTAAAACATATAAAAAATAGTTGCTGGAATTGGGTATGTCTAGTTTAATGAAGTTTAAATTAGTTTAATGAAAAGAAGAACTAGGGGTAGCATGATAGCAGTGGTCCAATCTCTCAGGGGCTGCCACAAAGAAAGAGTCAAGCTATTCTCCAAAGCGCCTGAGGGCAGGACAAGAAGCAATGGAGGGAAACTAATCAAGGAGAGAAGCAACCTAGAACTAAGGAGAAACTTCCTGACAGTTAGAACAATGAACAAGTGGAACAACCTGCCTCCAGAAGCTGTGAATGCTCCAACCCTGGAAGTTTTTAAGAAGAGACTGGACAGCCATTTGTCTGAAATGGTATAGGGCTTCCTGCCTGAGCAGGGGGTTGGACTAGAAGATCTGCAAGGTCCCTTCCAACTCTGTTATTCTATTCTATTCTAAGGTGACGGCCAATCTTATCTCCAAAGGGATGATGTATCACAGGCAGGAAGCCTATCACAGAGAAGGCTGACCAGCTGTCTGCAAGGAGTATAAATCCTTCCATTCTCCACCATCCAGCCAGAGCTGAAGAAGCTTCTTGGATGAGAAGTGAAATGTTTTCAAGGGAAAAAACGCAAGAAAGTCAGGTTTCCTTTTGGAGCAGCACCTATGGTCCCTTGCATCTCTCCTGAGATTTGTTCTGCTACCTGAGCTGTGGGCTCAGCCCCACTTTCGGTTCCACCAGAAAAAGATGGGCGCATGAATACAGAGGAGATGGTTCTGTTCCCTGTGAAGGAGACAAAAGCAATAAAGGAAGGATTTTTAAAACCCTAACAAATAAAATAGGGAAAGATATTATTCCCAAGGGGAGCCAGGACGTTCACATTGCTTGGAAGGACCTTCTCTTACTTCCTGAGGTGCTCCGATAGGGATCTTCTTTTGAGAAGTGCCCAAAAAGCAGATCCTCGGAGGAAACTTCTCTCTCTAGATTTTCAGGGATGACAGCCCAGGGGGACTCCTGCTGCTGAAATGGAAGAAAGGAGAAAAAGAAATTGAAGAAAGGAAAAAAAGGAAAAGAGGGTTAATGGACCAACAGAGAAGTAGTAGTGGATATTTCTCAATCCACAATGCTTCTATCCTTTATATCAGGGATGTCAAACTGTCGGCCCGCGGGCCGGATGCGGCACCAGGATACCGCACCTACCCCATTGCCGGCAATGGGGAAAAAGCTCCGATACGTTGCGCGACGTCACGTGACGTCATTTGACATGTCTGCTTTATATCCAAAAGCGGAGATGGAAACTAAGAAGGGAACAGTTGCCCCAAATGGAAGAAATGAACATAAGAGTTTATTTATTGTTACATTTTTTAAATCATCCATCGGCTGAAGTTTTTGTGGCAGTTTACAGTAGAAGAGGAACACGCGTGTTCTTAATGTTCAAAATGCCAGAAATCCTTACTACAGAAACATAGAAAACTGAGGTCTTTGGTCATCCAGGTCATAGCTGTCCCAAAGATGCTTTTTCAGGAGGCAACTGGACTTTCTTGTTTTTCTTTGAAGACGTTTCGCTTCTCATCCAAGAAGCTTCTTCAGTTCTGACCGGATGGTGGGGAATGGAAGGATTCATTCTCCTTGCAGAGAGCTGGTCATTTGCCTTCTTTTAGAGTCGTTGAGGCCACTTGGAGGTTTGAGGTCGCAGGTAAACCTCCAAGTGGCCTCAACGATTCTCTAAAAGAATACAAATGACCAGCTCTCGGCAAGGAATATAAATCCTTCCATTCCCACCATCCAATCAGAGCTGATGAAACTTCTTGGATGAGAAGCGAAACATCTTAGTGTCCAATCACTTAGATATGAGCCAGCAGTGTGCTGCAGCTGCCAAAAAAAGCCAAGACAGTGTTAGGCTGCATTAACAGAGGGATAGAATCAAGATCACGTGAAGTATTAATACCACTTTACAAGGCCTTAGTAAGGCCATACTTTGAATCCTGCATCCAGTTTTGGTCACCATGATGTAAAAAAGATGTTGAGACTCTAGAAAGAGTACAGAGAAGAGCAACAAAGATGATCAGGGGACTGGAGACTAAAACATATAAGGAACGGTTGTTGGAATTGGGTATGTCTAGTTTAATGAAGACAAGGACGAGGGGGGACGTGATAGCAGTGTTCCAATATCTCAGGGGTTGCTCCAAAGAAGAGGAAGTCAAGCTATTCTCCAAAGCGCCTGAAGGCAGGACAAGAAGCAACGGGTGGAAACTGATCAAGGAGAGAAGTAACTTAGAACTAAGGAGAAACTTCCTGACAGTTAGAACAATTAACCAATGGAACAACCTGCCTCTAGAAGCTGTGAATGCTCCAACACTGGAA